AAAATCTGGGGAAGCCAGGTGTGGTGGTGTATACCTATAATCCCAGGCTGAAGCAAGAAGATCAAAAGTTGGAGGCCAAGCCAGGCACCATGGCACACGCCATGTGTCTTGAGAGGCAGAGAGGACGAGTTCAAAGTCAGCCTCAGCAATGGCAAGGTGCTAAACAACTCAGTGAGACCCTGTCTCTAAACAAAATACAAAATAGGGCTGGGGATATGGCTCAATGGTTGAGTGCCCCTGAGTTCAATCCATGGTACCCCCCCCCCAAGAAAAAAGGAATGTTGGAGGCCAGCCTCAGCAACTTAGTGAGACCCTGTCTCAAAAAAAAAAAAAATTAAAAGGTCTGGGGATGTGGCAGGGGTTAAGCATCCCTGGGTTCAATTCCTGATACAAAATAAATAAATAGTTGGGGAAACCTAGAGCAGTATGAGGAGAAGGGCCGGGAGGGTGCCTCATTTAGTGAGGGTCTGTGAAGGGTATGAAGGCCTGGTCTTTTTGGCATCAAACCTAGCCAGGGGCCCTGAAAGCTCTTGGCTTGGCCACTGGCACATGTGGGAGTTGGCCTCAGCTCAGGTACTCCAGGCCATGAGCAGGAATGGAAAAAGAGCAGCAGAGCTCAGAGACTAATATCATCCTGGCCCTCTGACACCCTTGTGTCCTACAGATGTGGATGAGTGTGAAGCTGGGGGCGTATGTGACAATGGCATCTGTACCAACACACCAGGCTCCTTCCAATGTCAGTGCCTCTCTGGCTACCATCTGTCAAGGGACCGGAGTCACTGTGAAGGTGAGGGGTCCTAGAGCTGGGGTGCTGGCTTGTCCCTCCCTATCCCAGGACCCATACTGCCAGGTCTAGTGCCCATCCAGATCCCAGATGTGGTATGGGGCTATGGACCCTCCCGGGGCACTGAGGGAGGGGTACTTTGGCAGCTTCAGCCCCTGAGACTCCCCACCTCCTTATTCTCCTACAGACATTGATGAATGTGACTTCCCTGCGGCCTGCATTGGGGGTGACTGCATCAACACCAATGGCTCCTACAGATGTCTCTGCCCCCAGGGGCATCGTCTGGTGGGTGGCAGGAAATGTCAAGGTATGAGGGATTGGCTGAGGGCTTCTGAGGGGAGTGGCAGAGTGCAGTAATCCCCCAGATACACTGGCCTTTCTGTCTTTCCATCCATCCATCCATGCATCCTACACTCAGCTGTCCTTCCATTCTTTCACCTGAATAACAGAATAACAGTAATAATGACATTAGTGCTTCTGTGATGCTTACTTTGTGCTAGATGTGTTAGTCCAATTTACCAACTCACCCATACTTGTGTTCATCCTCAAGAGATAACTGAGCACTTACTGTTTGCCAGGTTCTGTGCTCTGTACTAAGTACTCGGCAATGACCAAGGGCTCCCAGCCTCCAGTGGTGGTGGTGGTGGTGGTGGTGGTGGTGGTGGTGATGATAAACTAATTTTCAGCATTAGAGTGCAGGATGTCAAGAAGGTTCTGGACTAGCAATCAGTGGGGAGATGACCATTGAATTGGGACTTGAAGCAAAATAATAGTGGTTCTCAGACAAAGGCATTGGATGGTATTTCACCCCCCAAGAACAGTATTTGAAAAGTACAAAGATCTGGAAGTTATATTTCAAGGAGAGCAATACTGATATCCTGAGCACGGGGTTGGAGGGAGCTGGAGGGAGCTGGAGGGTGATGGGATTGAAGGGTATTGGGAGAGCAAACTGAGCTGAGTTAGGACTTCATTCTGTTGTCATTGGGGAACATTGAAGGATGACAGCAGTGAGTGTACCTACCCACCTATGTGGACCAGACGGCATCTCTCTGGTGTGTACTTGGAAATCAAAGTGGAAATTCAGGTTCTGAATTTCAGGTCCTCAGGGCACACTCCAGGGAAGGAGGCAGTGGTTCTTGTCAGTGCCGTTTCTATCCCTGCTTCTTGCTCCCTTTGCTCCCTCCAGACATAGATGAGTGCAGCCAGGACCCTGGCCTGTGCCTGCCCCATGGGGCCTGTGAGAACCTGCAGGGCTCTTACGTTTGTGTTTGTGATGAGGGCTTCACCCCCACCCAGGACCAGCACGGCTGTGAGGGTGAGTATCCTCCCAGTTTTCTCCTCAGTCTAGACAACTCCCCTGAATGCAGCTGGCCTTCAGAGATGTCCTGGTCCCATCCTCCTGAATTTGGGGAACAGAAAGATATCTCTCTTGCTTGGGGGAGCCAGACTTCCAAGGGCCTGAAAACCATGTGGAGGAAGGAACAGGGCTCTCACATGGTGCTAAAGGGGGGCCAGGGAAAGTAGGGGACAGTGATGTGATGGGTGGGCAATGTAAATGTGGGGGGGTAGTTTATCTGCATGACTCTGAGCTGCCTTCCCCCTCAGAGGTGGAGCAGCCCCACCACAAGAAGGAGTGCTACCTTAACTTCGATGACACGGTGTTCTGTGACAGCGTACTGGCCACCAACGTCACCCAGCAGGAGTGTTGTTGCTCACTGGGGGCCGGATGGGGAGACCACTGTGAAATCTATCCCTGTCCAGTCTACAGCTCAGGTCAGGAGCCGGCAGGCCCCTTTCCAGAACCTTAGTTTGTGCATCAGGAAACCAAATGGGGAAAATGGCTCCCTGCTGGATAGTTGGGAAATGTGGTGCTGGCTCTCAATCCTCCTTCCTTCCCTCCCTGCAGCTGAGTTCCACAGCCTTTGCCCCGACGGAAAGGGCTACACGCAGGACAACAACATTGTCAACTATGGCATCCCAGCCCATCGTGGTAAGCCCCAGCGAGGCTTCTTCCACCAGGTCGGGCCGCGCCGCCTGGCCCCCAGGCTTGGCTCCCAGGTGCTGGCTTGGCATAGGGGTAGGCGGCGCCAGATCGGCTCTGCGGACACATCAGGCTCGCCCCCACCCCTGTACTCCTGGTCCTTCACTCTGGAATGGTTGGAGGGAAAAACTTCTCCCGCGGGTTTGGCTTTCCTCCCTGCGCGAGCCCCGCCCACCCTTTCCGCCTGCCTGCGGGGCCGAACAGCTTAGAGGTACAGGCGGCTGGGCGCCCATGGTTGGTCACCCGCAGACATCGACGAGTGCGTGTTGTTCGGGGCGGAGATCTGCAAGGAGGGCAAGTGTGTGAACACACAGCCTGGCTACGAGTGCTACTGCAAGCAGGGCTTCTACTACGACGGGAACCTGCTGGAGTGCGTTGGTGAGCGCAGCTCCCCGAGACGGCTCGGGGGAAGCGGCCGGGAGGCCCGAAAACCTCCCGCCCGCAGGTCTGCCCCTGGCATCCGCACTTTTTCTCCCTGTAGATGTAGACGAATGCCTGGACGAGTCCAACTGCCGGAACGGAGTGTGTGAGAACACGCGTGGCGGCTACCGCTGCGCCTGCACGCCCCCGGCGGAGTACAGCCCCGTGCAGCGCCAGTGTCTGAACCCCGAAGAGATGGGTGAGGCCCGGGCCGGTCAGCTGGGGAGAGGGAGGGGGCGGGGCCCAGGCCGAACTGTGACTGCCACCCCCACCCATCCCCTCGCTGCCTGTAGACGTGGACGAGTGCCAGGACCCGGCAGCCTGCCGCCCTGGCCGCTGCGTCAACCTACCGGGCTCCTACCGCTGCGAGTGTCGCCCGCCCTGGGTGCCCGGGCCCACCGGCCGCAACTGCCAGCTCCCCGAGAGCCCGGCGGGTGAGGGCGATGGGCCGACTCCAGGGCCCTGTTCATAGGGTGGAGCCCCAGGGCCTCCACACCGGCTTGGGTGGGGTGGAACCGAGGACGGTCCCTGCCTCTGGTTCCTCGATGACAGCCGGTTCCCTTCGCAGAGCGTTCCCCGGAGCGGCGCGACGTGTGTTGGGGCCAGCGCGGAGAGGACGGCATGTGTGCGGGCCCTTTGGCCGGGCCTGCCCTCACTTTCGATGACTGCTGCTGTCGCCAGGGCCGTGGCTGGGGCGCCCAGTGCCGCCCGTGCCCATCGCGAAGCGCCGGTGAGCTGGTGAGGGGAACTCTGAGGGCGGTAACTGGGGTACACCGACGACGTCGCTCACCTCACCCCACACTCCCAGGGTCCCAATGTCCGACATCGCAGAGTGAGAGCAACTCCTTCTGGGACACGAGTCCCCTGCTGTTGGGGAAGCCATCGCGAGGTGAGTAAGGCCTAGGGGGACGAGGCCGGGTCAGCATCATCGTTAGGGGGCGATGTTGACATCGGTAACTCCACCGGTCCTCACAGACGAGGACAGCTCGGAGGAGGACTCTGATGAGTGTCGCTGTGTGAGCGGCCGCTGCGTACCGCGGCCAGGCGGCGCGGTGTGCGAGTGTCCCGGTGGCTTCCAGCTGGACGCCTCTCGCGCGCGCTGCGTTGGTGAGCTGGACACCGGGGCCCGGGGGCGGGGCGGGGTGGGGCGGGGTGGGGCGGGGCGGCGGAGGGGCGGGGCGGAGCCCAGCCGGAACTGGAAGCTAAGCGAAGTCAGCACCTGTCAACCACCTGCAGACATCGATGAGTGCCGAGAGCTGAACCAGCGCGGGCTTCTATGCAAGAGCGAGCGCTGCGTGAACACGAACGGCTCCTTTCGCTGCGTCTGCAAAGCCGGCTTCGCGCGCAGCCGCCAGCACGGGGCCTGTGTGCCCCAGCGCCGCCGTTGACACAACCCATGGCCTGCATCTCACGCTGACGGGTTTTCATTGACATTGGGGGTGAGCTCGGTCTTTTATTCCTGCCTCAACTAGGGACAGGGGCCCAGGAACCCTCTGGGGTCCACAGACCCCTTTCTGCACCCCTAGACCCAAGGGTGTCCATAGTGGCCCCGTCAGGTTCACTGCAGATACAGGTCTGCAGGGTGCTGTCGGTCTTGCTCCCTGAGGATGATTCGTAGCGCTGATAAATCAGATCGTGCCTCTTCAGTTTACTCGCGGCTTTGAAAGCAAATTGATGTTCACATCTACTGCTGGTGGGGACTTCACAGAGCAGTACCAGATTCCAGCCACCCAGAGGGGCTAGCTGAGCCCGGGACAGGGGTGTGAAATAGAATTTATTGTGGCTCTGATTATGTACACATGAGATGTGCCTGGCCAGGCCAGCCGGGCTCACATGGTTTGTACAATAAATACATCCGCGGGGCCTGCTCTCCATGGCTGGGAGGGCTACCCCAGAAGTTCAGTCCAGCTTTCGTGCTCCCAGCTTCATGGGGCCCTTGGCTGCCTTCTTCTCTGCGCGTTTGGCCTCCATCTCCCTCCGCCGGTCCTCACGCTTTTTCCGTGCCAGCTCGGCCTTGACCTGTCCTGGAGTCAGGAAAGGGAAGCAGGCTGAGGGCTGACCTGCCCTGCCCTGCCCTGAACCCTAGTCTGTCAGCCCTCCAGGGGAAGGACTTACGGCTCTCAGTCTCCAGGCCCTCCCAGTTGTCCTCACCCCATGAGTCCGATTCTGGCCTGGGCTGAAAAGGGAAGTGCGGGCTGCTGTGGGGGCCAACTCCTGGCTGAGTTCCACCCCGGTCTGCACCCTCAACAGACCCATACCTGGGTACTAGAACGCACAGACAGGGCAGCGAAGGGGTCACCCTTGTCGTTGGACTCTGGGCCACCCCAGTTATACTCGCTGGCCAATCTTGTGCCTTCAGGGGGTGGCTCTGGGGAGCTGGGCTCCTGCCAGCCCTGCTCCCAGGAGCCTTCAGCTTCCCAGTTGCTCCAGTCTGACTCAGGAGATTTGTGTTCTGGGGGGCTGACCTGCAGAAGGGTGGGAAGGAGTGGTTAGGCCTGCCCAGAGGCAGGAGCCAGATCCTGCCCCACAGACACACTCTGCCTGACCCAGCTCACCTGTCCAGCTATGCTTGCTTGGCCCCTGGTACTCCAGTCATCCTGCTGGGCCAACACAGACTCAGCCTCCTGCTGCAGTATGGGAAGGAGAGGGGCATACCAATGACACACTCAGCCCTCCAAAGGGCAAGTAAGTGGGCCCAGGTCTGTCCTAGACATGAGCTTGGCCCTTTGGTCTTTTACCTTCCTTCATTTCCTTCCCTGTCAGCCAGATGGGGAAACTGGCCAGAGCTCTGATACAATTCACTCAGAGCAGCACCACTCCCTCCCCTGCCCATCCTCAGCCACCCCTGCAGCATGCCTGGTCTGGTTTTAGAGGAGGGTATATGGGGGACTATCCTTACTCACCCCGGGCTGAGTGGGCACTGGAGTAAACAGTGGGCACACAGGAGAGTAAGAAGTCCAGCAGGCAGCCTAACCACTGCCTGCCCTGCCTCTCATCTGACCCTGCTCCTGGAGACCCTTGGGATTGGGGAGGAGATCAGCTGCTGTCTCTGACCTACAGTGGCCAACTTCATGAGGTCTACCTGTCAGGACTGCTGTGCAGATAATACAGGCTCAACTCCAGCCAGGCCCCATATGTCTGGATTGGCAACCTGCGGCTCTCTGGGGGTCCCGAGAGCCTCCTCAGCCCCACTAACCTCCAAGCTGCCCCAGTCCTCATCATCCCATCTGTCAGCAGTACTGCTATCCTCTGTTGTGTCCTTGTCCTCCTGTGTCTCCCAGCGGTCTGAGGTTGTAGAGGTGGCAGAGAGAGGTGTGGGGGCTGGGGCAGGATGTCCTAGAGAACAGAGGCCCCGGGGCTCTCAGGGAGGTCTTGGGAGAGGACAGAGGTTGCTGAGAGGAAAGGGATACACAGAAGGAAGGGGCACCAAGGAAATCCACAAGGAGACTAGACCCCATTCCATACCCTATGTCCCCATCACCCTCCCGGGGGAGCCAGATAATAGCTGGGACACTCACCCTCAGGCATTGGTCTCTGGGGCACATTGGTCTCAGCCTGTGTAGCCATGGGGTGTGCGCGGATGAATTTAGAGGTAAGTGAGGAGACTCCAGTCACAGCCCAGCCTGCCCAGCTGGCTGCAGCTCCTCCCATCCCAGGGCTGGAAGCTGCATGGACATCCTTCTCTGGGCAAAAAGAGAAACAGATATGGGCACCTCAGACTCCACAGGGAGGTGATAGAAAGGCAAGTACCCTAACAATGACTTGTAAACGTCCCCTCCCTATTATAGGCGGAGGTCTTCCCATCTGTGAAATGGATGCTCCAGTGGAGGTGGGACATGCCAGATGACAGGCAAGGACATGGAAGTGGGGGAAGAGGGAACACAAGCATGGCCACTCACCCACTTCTGCCAACTGGGTGGGATCCTCAGACACAGACTCCAGTTTGGACAGGAAGCTTCGAATGGCCTTGAAGGCCTGTGGGATAGCAAGGGGCCAAGCTGGGGGCTCCAGGGTTCCTGAGAGCCTACCAGGCTGGCTAGGGCTCAGATATAACCCAGAGTCCCAGCTCCAGGGCCCAGCCCCAGCTATGCCTCACCTGGTCCCGCACAGATTTTTCAGGGTCCACAGTGAGGCCACACAGTACAGGCAGGATCTTGTGGGCACAGTCGTTCATTGAGTAGAAGTTGTGGGTGGCAGCAAAGCCCAAAACACCCGCAACCCGGGATGGTGCAAATGGGTCCTTAGTGGCCCGGCTGAAGGCGGAGGTGAGGACTCTGTGTCTGGTCTGGAGTGGGGCAGGAGAGAGAACTCCTAAGTATACAGTCAAAAGTGGGACCTAGAACCTCCAGATCAGGGGCCAACCATGGGACCTCCAGGGTCTAAAAATGTGTATTTATCAAAAATAGCTTAAAAGGCACAAATTTACCTAAAACTCTGGATCTGGGTTTCTCCTCCTAGAATCCTGGACTCCTTTCTGCCTCAGGGGAACGAGGGCCAGAACAGCAGCCACCCTGAGGCTAGATCATGTGCCTCCCTTCTTCCCTGCCCTGCTGATCCCACTCATTCATTCCTGTTACTGTCTGGGCACAGCAGGTGTCACATTTTAAAACTTGGGGGATGCACACAAGTTTGGGGCTAAGCCAACCTGGATTCAGATCCTAGATTCACACCTATGCACTGTGTGACCTGGCACAACTCACTCCACCTTTAGGAGCCAAGACACTGAGGCTAGCAGGGCTCTCTGGGAGCCTTCGTGTGGGAGACGATAAATGACCACACACACAAGGTTCCTGGCTCGAGAGGAGGCCATGGTCCTATGGCAGCTGTAGGACACTCACACTGGCACTGAGGTAGGAGCCAATTTTTCCCAGGCAGACCGTGGTGTTGCAGCGGATTGGGCCCTGTTCATCCTTGGCCTGCAGCCGGGCAAAGTGCTTCATGAGCTCCATGTTGAGGTTGGCTTCATTTAGCTTTGGGGCCAGGAGCAGCATGGACTGTGGGGTGAAGGCAACAGTAGGTATTGTGGGCCAGGACAGGAATGGTCTCCTGAGCCACTGGTGGCCCCTGGCTCTTAGCAGACCTGCCAAAGCCTGCTAAAGCCCACTCGGCCTTCTCCTGGCCCACCCAGTATGTTGAGAAAGGGGAGCTCCCTCTTTCCTGTCCCCTAAAGTAAGATCTCAAAAGTCTTGTACTCCTGTCTCCCATCTCTCTCCTGCCTGCAGTACACTCAGGCTCTCCCAGGAACATTCCCCACAGTGTACCAAACTGGCTTAGGCTGAAGTCACCAATGAACTCCAAGTCACTAAATTCAGTAGTCAATTCTGCCTCATCAAACTTGATTCCTTAGCAGTTTTGATAACCCTACCACCACCACCAAATTCTCCCTCTGCTTTGAAATTTTTGTTTCTGGTCTACCAGGAAAGGAGTCCTGGTCCTCCCCCCAGCCTCACTGGCTGCTCCTTTTGCTGAAATCTTAATCTTTAGACACACCAAAACAAGTCCTTTGGCCTTTTTTTTAATATTTAACACTGGGCCCTGTAATCTCACCTACTTCATGGCTTTAAATGTCTCTCTGTTAGCTGATAGCTCCCAAGTGTGCAGCACTTGCCAAAACTTCTTGCCTCAACTTCACATGTGCATAACCAGCAGCCAGCTCAACAGCTCTACCTGACCATCGAGCAGAGCTGGCCAAGCCAGGCCCCAACCGCCTTCTACAAACCTGCTCCTCAGTCAGACCACAGCACTGCTCTGTTCTACCCACCACTGCACACCTTGCAGGTGGGCTTTGCTGGTCTCATTCCCAATGAATACAGCAGGTTTCCACCATACCAACAAGGCCCAACATTATCCTCTGACTTCGCCTCCTTCAGCCATCTCCTTTCAGCCATGCTAAACCACTTACTTCTACTTCCTACTTCTATAGTCCAGGCAGCTTCCAGACTCCAGGCCTTTGCACCTGCCATTACTTTTGCAGGAGACACATTTCTTCCCCATCTCTTCATGGGTTGAATCCTTCACCTCCTTTCTTTCAAGGGATACCTCCTAAGCAAGGTAGTCCCTTTTTAAAAACTGTAGACCCTCCTCTCCTCAACTCTTTTCTGATGTGATATATATTTTCTAATTCTATTTCTTGTCTGCCAGGCCCATTGTCTGTACTCCTCAAGGGAAAGGGGCTTGGGCTGCCTTGTGCAAACTGCGTACTAGCCCAGGGCACAGGATGGGCACAAAGAAATGTTCAGTGAGGTCTGCTGAAAGGACATACCACCGCTGGCTGCAGGACAGCCTCCACAGCCTGGACCAAGCGCAGAGCACATGGTAGTACCTGCCCCACCCATAATCTGCTTAGACTTGCAAGCAGAAGCCATGGCCTCTGTGTCCTTGTAAACAATCCCCTCCATGCCCTGGAAAACTGGAGGTGGTTACTCTTTGCCTGGCCATACCTACCTTGACAGTCTGCTCCCGGATGGCAGGGTTGGTATCCAGAAAGCCATGTACAACATGGGGAAAGATCTGGGTGTTGACTGTCGGCTCATCAAGGTATTGGATAAACTGCTCCATCTGTAGCCCAGGAGGGTGGAGGGTAGTGTGTGTGGGGGAGAACACAGCCAGCCCTCTCTCGCCCCATACAGGTTTGGAGCCACTCTGGCTTCCCACTATCCACCCCTGGCCAGCCAGGTTAGCTTATTAAGCCCCATGCCTGTGTTTGACCTCAAGAGGCTTGATGCAGAGAGGGATTGGGACCTGAGAGCCACGAGTTCTTCCTGGCTCACAAGAGTCCCTTATCCTAGGCCCCATCAGTCCTATGTAATGTTCCCAGTTGCCCTGGGTTGGCAGGAGATGTTTTATCTCCACTCATCCCAGGGTGACCACATCAGAAGATGGGGTGGCACCTGAGCCCTGTAGCCTGGGCACTCCTGAGATTGCCAAGGAGCCCTGTGATCCACCTCATGACAGCCTGGCCTCCCTGCTCCCTCATCTGTGGAATGTTCAGGGGAGGGTTTTCTGGGGTCCCTTTGCAGCCAGGAAAGGGGCTCCAGTCACCTGCTTGGAGCAGGAGGTAAGGAAGGTGTCTCTCCAACAACCAGGGTGGGTCTGGGTGGGTAGACCAGGGCAGGGCCTGGCCAAGGCCCCTACCTGCTGCAGGAGGCGGATGCGCATGGCGCGGTCGGTGGATGAGAACATCTTGACCACCACAGGAATGATCTTCTGCTGATACTCCTCAGCACTGAGGAACTTGCCCACCTGAGGATAGGAGGGAACAAGTGTTTAGCCACGTCCTCAGGGCTGGATGACTTCACAGGGCTCACTTGACTTACTTGGGCTCCCTGCTGGTTTTCCAGGGTAGGAAGGAGGTGACACCAGAGTAGAGGCATCAGCCATTTCCCCAGCAGCTCCTCTGCCCCTACCCCAGCTCAGTCCTGCCCCTAACCTTTCAGGTTCAAGGCCTCTTTTAGGAAGCTGATGGAAGCTGTGCTCCTCCCTATGAACAGGTGTCTGAATGTCATATGTACACAGAATTCTGCCTGTGATTTCTGGGGATTCCAACTTTACAGGACTTGATGGCTGGCTTTTGTACTTCTAGCAAGTTCCTTCAGGGGAAAAGGATGTCCTGGGGATGGGGCAGGTAAGGGAAAGGCAGGTGACCCTGAAAGGTGGGCTGGGGTCTCAGGAAGCAGGAAGAATCCAGCCCCAGAAGTCACCTGAGTGGTTAGGAAAGAGGAGAAGAAAATGGGGTGATGGGCAGGTAGTCCCCAGAGCCCTGGGAAAATGGTTGCACAGATCAGACTAGGAGAGTCTGTCTTAGGAAAGGAGGAAGGGCCAAGTGCTCTGAAGCAAGGGTCTGAGGATCAAAATGTAGAGGCACAGGTTCTTTGCTCTCAAAGGGCAAGAAGTCCCCACAGTCTCCCTGTAGCTGCTCAGGAGGTCCTGGCTTGCTGAACAACCAGGACGCTGGCAGAAAGCCACCTCATATGGGTCTTCCCTAACCAGGCTGCCTGCCCCAGGATGCCCCATAGGGCTGTTCCCAGTCCAGGATCATCTCTTTGGCAGTTTTGATACACCCTGCCAGCTCTCTGGATCCCACAGGTCTTGAGGCTCCAGGCTTTCCAGGTCTCCCCTCAATTACCTTGAAGAGGGGTGTGAGGACCACAGCCCCAGCGTTGCCAAACTCGAAGGCAGTCAGCAGCTGGGGCAGCACCTTGTGCCGACAGAAATCCTCAGGGAATGAGTCCAGGCTCTTGCTCAACTCTTGGAAGAATTTTTGCTTCTCGGCCGGCTCTTTGATCTAGGGGAACAAGGACAAGGCACAGGGAGGAAGCCAGCCTGGTCACATACATTGCCCAGTCACAAGTGAGGACAGGAAGTCACCCCCAGGTCTGAAGAGACAAAAATAAAGCTGTGGGCTCTAGAGCCCAACTGCCTAGGCTCAAAGGCCAGCTTTCCTGCTTACTTGCCATGTGGTTTAGGCAAGTTCCTCCATCTGTAAAATGAGTTAATAACTCTATCACAGCATAGGGTTGTTCTGAAGATTCAATTGGAAAATGCACATAAAAGCTGTCAGCACAATGCCTGGCACACAGCAGGGCCTCCAGTGACTGTCCTTATCTTGGCCACCTAACTGCTGAAGAGCAGCCACTAGGGGCATCGTACCCTCAGTCAGCAGCAGTGACAGCTCACAACAGCCTAGATGGGAAAATACTTAAAAAAGAGGGAAGGGCCATGTGAGAACTCCACCTAACACAGCGCCTGCTGCCCTCACCCACCCCCACTCTCCCATCCCGGCCCAGAGGCAGCAGGGCTCAGCATTTCCAGTGGCTTCTTCAAGATGCACTTCAGTTCCCCATCTTCCAGCAGCCCTCCCTATCCCCACCTAAGCCAATATTCACTCTGTTCCTTGGAAGTCTGTGGAAGTGTCTGTCGCCCTCCTCCCCTGTCCTGATTCTCAGCCACCTCTCTGTGTTCACCACACATGACTGGGCCAGAGCAGGTGCAGAGAGCAGACCTCCCTCCTTCATTCCGTGTGACTCTCCCTTTACACAGATGCCAACATTGAGGTTCAGAGGTAAAGCACAGGGTGCCCTCCTCACATCTTCCCATGAGCTGGTCCCTCTGTCTGGAACACTAACCCCAGTTACCATCCCTATGGCTCCCATGTTCCTTCCTTCAGGTCCTATTTCAAATGTCATTCCTAAGAGAACTCTTCCCTGAGCACCCCATCCCTTCTATTTTCCTGCTGGCAAAGAGAACTGCCTAAAACAGGGACCTGGCCTATTAACCCCTTGCTCGCTCCTTGAGGGCAGGTCTAGATCTGTCTTTCCCTCCCCACCTCACTCCAAGCCAGCATGGGGCATGGCACCCTGGGGACCAGAGTCAGAAAGTATTGTAGAGTTGCTGGAGCAACAAGAACACTCACTAGGATCTGCTGTGTCCGACAAGCACAGCGGCCCTCTATGTTCCACAGTGGTGCATTCAACCAACCATTGATAACAGACATTAAAAATTAATGTGTCCATATTGACATGTAGACTTACTTTTGTCATTGTTATCTAAATGATACTGTATAATAACTAACTATTTTCATAGCAGTTTCATTTTATTAGGTGTTACATGCCATCAAGAGATGATTTTTAAGAATGTGAGAGGATGTAAATAAATCATATGTGTAAATACTATGCTGTTTATATAAGGGACTTGAGTATTCTTGGATTTTGGTGTCCTTGGGAGTCCTAGAACCATGGATATCATGGACATCAAAGACGACTAGGCTGTGTACTCCCCACGATCCTGTGAAGTAGGCACTATTACTAGAGCTAAACTTCAACAAGGGGAAGCCAAAGCAAGGAAGAGTTGGAGCCAGAGTTGCATCCAAAGGGCCTATTTGTATAGTCCATGCCTGTCTTCAAAGGGTTCAGTTGTGAGAGAACCTAAAAGTGGGGTATAGGGCAATTATGGGAAATGTAGGGCCAAAGCCTAGGCAGGTGGGGGGCTTACCTGAATCTCTTCCAAGAAGAGGTTGGTCTCCACAAAACGGTTGTTCATGAAACCACCAGGTGCCTGGCAGTTCTGCAGAAAGCGGGCTGGGTTGGGACGCACCTTAGGGTTAGCTCCCACCAGTTCACAGTAATGGGGCACCAGGGATTTGGGGATCTGTAGGATAAGACTCAGTGTCAGAGAAGGGGTGGTTGGTGAAAGAGCAGAGAAAGAGCAGCTGGGGCAAGGCAGACAGCCAGGGGCTGGATACTTACCTTCCCAGGATTGCGAAGGGCAGTCGCCCGAGGTAGAGGCCCATTGAAGACTTCCCAGATGAGGCAGCCCAAGCGCCACATGTCTGCTGACCTGTAGCAGTAAGCCAGAGCTGCTCAGAGCCCTACCACCCATTAATGCAAAACTCATCCTGCCATAGCAGGTCCTGGCTGTGTCCCTCAGGTGACCCATCAGCCTTAAGCAGCTGGTTTCACTAGCCTCATTTAACATATAAAAAAACCAAGGTTCAGAGAGGCAAGGACATCTGTCCTGGGTCACACAATTTTCAAATTCAGAACCACCCAATGCCCAAGCTTGTGTCCAATCTGCCCTACTAATATGGAGCTTCTGGTAGCAGTCCTGGGACCCTGATACTCTCCCAACCAAGCAACAAGGGACAGGGAAGTGCCAGCTAGTCCTGAGATCCTGAGGCTACAGGGGCCTCCACAACAGGACAGACTGATGTATGCCGCCCCCAGTCACCCACCACTTCTCTCTGACCGCTCTGCCGCTGTTGTCAGTCAATTCCGGGGGGTCATACTGCTCAAGTTCAGGGATCCCCTTGCGGGGTGGTCCCCCACCATTGCCCTGGGCTGAGTACATGTAATCCAGGCCCCCAAGTTTCCACTCGCCAGCTCGGTCCACAAACACAGCAGCCATACAGACATTATTGTGGATAAGGTTGCAGTCGTTGACCAAGAAGCTGAGGGCTTTCACTATCTGGTGTAGCCCCCAGGACAACTCCTGCTCCTTCAGGCCACCAGCATCCACTCGAGCCTTGAGGTACATTCCCAGTGGGGTCACAGCCTCTGTCACTACATGGAGGCACTTTTCTGTCTAGGGAAGGAGAGAGGGATGTCAGGGATGGGTTAGGGAGAAGAAGGGGAGATGAGGAACAGGGACAGTAGAGAAGCTCTAACTCTGGGGGTGCTGAAATCCAAGGGGTGGAAACCAAGGGACAGAGTGAAGACAGCAGTGGGAGACGGGGAAATGGTGAGAACAGAGATAAACAAACGCAGTGCAGGTACCTCCAGCCCATCGATATAGGCCAGGATGTTGGGGTGCCGGAGAGTTTTGAGGCGCTTGAAGGCAGCTTTGGCCACCTGGGTCTGCTCTTCAGCGCCAGGCTTCACGTCGTACACGAATATGGACACTAGGCTGCCTGTGGCCTGGAGGACAGAGAGGCCAGGGGGTGGGGGCCAGGCTGACCACTCGGCTGGGCCTGGGTCTCACCATTTCGTAGATGGTCCCCGGAGCAGAAGAAAAGAGATGCAGGCCAGGTCTCTCCCCTGGTCAGTCCTTAGGGACTCGGCCGGGCTCACGTGACCCCTACCCCGTCTGCCTGTCGGTCCCTCGGTCCTTCCGCCCGCCACGTCGGCACTGCCCGACCCCTCCCGGCCCGTTGCCCCGAGCCTCCGCCTCCACGTCAGACCCGGCGCGACGCAGAGGAACCGGCGGTGCGCAGTAGGCGAGGCCGAGGTCTGCCGCGGCCTGCAGAGCCAGGCCGCACTCACCTTTTTGCGGCCGCGGTGCAGGACCCAGGGTCCGGGCGGGCTGCCTTCAGGAGCCTCTGGGCTGAGCTCGAACGGAAAGTCCCGGACCGGGTCCCG